TTTCCCTTGGATGATCGACGGAAACTACATCAGGCTTATCAAATTGTATTTGCCTGGAGATGGGTGATGTGTGTTTGTGGTGAAATTTTTTCGCTACGATTTCAATGTAGTTAGAAAAAAGTCAGGTTCCCAAATGAGTCAATATGTAAAATATCATTAAAGAAGTCCCATACATTGAACATACGTAATCGCAGGAGTTCATTGATTTTCATGTGGGCTTTTTACTGAATGGATCGTCTTGGTGACAGATTTCTGGTCACCGAACTACCTTATACATAAACGCTTCAGTCTCTTATAGGAATGTAGGCTTTCACGGCTGGCGTCAATGAACCAGATCTTTGGTGATAATGTTCACTCTCTTTTCTGTTGGAGTTCTCTTGGTGTTCGTGTATTTCTATGGATTCTGAATACACTCTTGTTGAATAATGATTCGACGTTGCTAGCCTCTCGGTATTTTCAAGGATCTTGTGTTTCTCGTCAGACATTGCATATTCAGCGACTGCAAAGTTCTCGTTCGGTCCCAATCGGCAACTCCGCTTGGGCTCCACTAGGCGGGTATCAATGCTTCGTTTCGTTTGACCGAACTCTGTAGAAATACATGAACCCCAAGAGAACTTCAACAGAGAGGAAGAGAGACTATATCTATCGAAGACCTGGCACATAGCTTTGAAAGGCGCCAAAACGTGCGGGAAGTACGTGCGACCCACCATTACAGAAAGTGCGTGGAAAAACAGCACTATAAATGACATGGCAGACATAAGAGCAGTTGATACGTCAAGAAGAGTACTTCGACCACACCACTGAAGATGACTGCCGCAGTTGCAGTTGAAATGTTTGGAGATTATTACTCAAGAAGGTGCCTCGACAAAACCGAGGCACCAACAAAAACAGCTTCAGTCTCTGCTCTTTTAGAGCAAGGGTGGTCAACCTTTTCGACACTTGGGCCAAAATTCGGAAGTAGAATTTTACCCTGGGCCGCACTACCAAATTTTATGTATAGTGCGCGCCAAATAAGTCTGCGCACAGTCAAAATCGGATACTAATAATTATTGTGCATGCCGCACGCCGGCAGCCGCATCCTCCCCGCAAAAAGTTGGTAAGTTTGCGCGGCTAGCGGGCGATCAGAACGTTATTTTAAAGTCAGCTCCATTTTATGTAGATAACGCATGTGTTGATTTTAAACGTGAAAGAGAAGAAGTGTTTGTTTGCTTCTTATAGGTAAGGTAATTTTAGTAATAATTTTTCTACTTTAAAAAAATGTTAATAAGCAGGTATATAGGAGTTTGTGCTGATACTTGCCGTGAAGAGAGTTCTCTACTCTTTACCTCTTTGGAATGACATTGATCCACCCGAAGTTAGGTATACGTCTCTCCGGCATCCAGATGGTGTAGGATGATTCCCTCCTTTTTTGAGATGGACCGTTGCACATTTTTCTATTTCAAATTTTATACTGATAGCATGCGTTAGGCACTCTTTCACCACTCTAAGGATTATTTTTCAAAGATATGAAGTTCAAGATCATCGATATAAAGTGAATGGGTGACCTTATGTCTCTGCTCTCCGGAGACACTACAGCTGTATCCATGAATATTTTCAAGTGCAAATCAATGGCAATAGTGATATGCTGGAAAGGAGAGCGTTGAAAGTATCACACTGAAACATACTTCATCTGAAAGCAACTTGCTCTGTTTATACTTTAGTTTGGCTAGATGTGATGGTGAAGTAAGTTATTCTTCCGGAATGATAAAATCAATATATTTACAAACTTTAGCAAGAGAATAATAGTTTTAGGACGATGAAACCAAGCATTCTACATGAAATAAATTGCATCAATTAAGCAGTTGTATTACTATTTTACCTTATTTTTATTGTATTATGTTGAAGATTTTGAACACGAAAGCATCTTATGTCATAGTTTGATCATTTCAGTTCAACGGCAGTGAAGAAATATTGCAATTTGTCGAAAACGACTAGAAATGAATAAAGTAATTGAATATATAAGTATTGATAATAATTATAAGAAAAGTCATTAATGAAATTATCAAATCTTCATATGAAATATCACTTTACACAATGAATCTCAATGTTTTCAACCGATAATATTCCTGAATGGAGTTTTATTTGGATCGCCCTAAGTGAAATTAAATATCCAGATCGATATTAATTACAACATACCTATGGTTGCATGTTGGAAAAAATTTAAAATGAATAAGTGCTATAATAATATACAGGAACTTCGTGGAAATATGTTGTGACAGTATATATTTTCGTGAATTTTTAATACATCTACTTTTACTTTCAACTGTCATTAGGAGAAACTTTCATTACCTTATCAAACAAAAACAATTGTATGATGGAGATCTGATAACCTACTATCTGATCAGTTTTGAAAAGATTCATCCAAACGGTTTCAATTTTTATTTTCTGGTTCAATTTTTATTTGTATTCACATTTTCACACATTTCTCAATAATGATAATTCAGGTTTCGTCAAACAAAATTTATCCAAAAGATAAAAATGAATCAGAAAAAAGTGACGATATAGAAGACAATTTCTAATGCAGACTTGAACGCGATTTTTGGTTTTGAATATATGAAAAAATCGCCCTATTTTGTCGATAGTCATCCCTAATTTTTTTTTACGTTGAAAATGCGATTTCTAATCGATAAAATATCATTTCTATGAGTGGCGGGTATCTCATTGAAAGGACCTAACTTGAGTATTTCAATAAATCAATAAATAAAAACTTTCTTTTGTAATTTTCAGAAATGATTATCATCATTCTCTTTTCGATAGGTCCTGTTTATGCATCATAAAAATGGTATATTTTTATTATATATGGAATAGGATAAAACAGGATAGGTCAAATTATCACTCAATAATGGAAAAGCTACATTTTTGAACTACAAACTATATTTTAATAATTTCACTTCTTTGCCTCTAATTCGATAAGTCACACGCTTCAGGTAACACAATAAACCAGAAAGGTCATACTTTTTTCTGAAAAAATTGAGTATATTTTCATTTCCAATATCGGCACTTCTCTCATCTCTTTCAACGTAAACAACGGGGCGATCCAAAATTGAAATGAACTATCTTTGCCTAAATTTAGGAAGTACCTAATCATGCGCGACCGATTTCCTTCTCTTCGGCGATACGGCTATGCTCCTCAAACTCCTAGACCTTTCGAATAGCGATGGATCCGTATAAATCGGTTCGCTGGGATCCTCGAATGGTCCTCCAGGAGCCGACAACGGGCAATCCAAGTCGGTTTTGGGAAAGCTCGCAATATTCGGAGTCCTTCCGAAACCTGCAAACTGTTTCTGAAGGCCCGCTCCGAAAGTAGAGATGCTGGAAATCCCACTACTGCGTGTGTTCGGGTACGACGTAGACAGGTGCGAACTCGACCGATCCGCTACCAAGTTTTTTCTCATGACCAGCCAGTACTTGCGATAGGCCAGTCCGGCTAACAGAGAGCCTGTGAGGAGGAGGGCGATGAGGATCATGACAGCGCTTACCAGGCCGTGGTATTCGCCAGGACTGAGGCAGACCGTTTCTGGCAAATATTCGGCATGCCTGGCTTCTTGTTGTAGTTCCTCTCTCGAATCGAACACCTGGAACAATAAAAGAGTTCATTAGAGTAATGGAAAACGTGAAGCGTTTTCTGTTTAGGAAGTGGTTATCATTCACTGTTCAAGAACTCTTTCATTTGGAGAACTGTGAAATCAACATTCTGAGAACGTTTTTCCAAATGGATTATATCTCCGCCACCGCACTTAGAGCGCCTTAAGGATTTTCCTGTGATGCTCGTGTTTTGTCCTTGAAAAAATGACTGAGCAGTTCTTCAGTGAGGAATAGGGGTCAAGTTGAACCTTGTTCGGAAGATTTTCAATTGCAACAATTCAGTTGCAAAAAGTTTCGTTTCAACAAATTTTTATTTTACACAAAAAATGTGTAGGTACCCTTTTATTGTCACAGATCAGCTTCATGTGAAATTGTATCACAAAGTAATATTTCTTATTGATCTGAAGTAATTTGAGTTCTATATGCTCAATTTGAAAATACTCTGATGAAATAACTTCATTTTTACACACTAATTAATAAGCCCAATAACCCAGCTTATTTTTGCCGTTATTCAATCTTCCAAGTATTATACTTATGTTTGTGAGTTTTATTTGGTAGATCTTGTTTCTGAGATGACCCAATAAAAAATGTAAAAGGGCAAGGTCAAATTGTTTCGCGGGTTATTCCAACGACCTTTTCGAATTATTCATCTATTTGGGAATACGAGTACTGAATTCAAATATTATCTTACACTCAAGTGCTCAAATTCGTTTCTATACATGGGGATCTCGTAAACGATAAGATATACAGTATCGGTTAAATTATGGCAAAGTTGCGTATTTCAGAGACCTATTCAATGATGTAAAGAAATCGAATATAGTATATGTGTTATATGACAGATTCAGGATCAAAAGGAAGGGGTATGATGTAGTATTTACGATCTTTTACTGATTTGCTAGAAAGTATATTGATTCTATCATTGTAAAACTCTGGGTGTTCTTCGAAGAGGTCTTCGATGATTTCATAGTGTAATGGATCTATCCATTTTGTGCATTTAGAAACTTGCGTTTCTAACAACTAACCATGCCACACAGTCCCCTACGGCTCTGAGGAATGATTGATTCTCTACAGCCCCCTACGACTCTAAATATTGTTTCTCCATTGGTTCTAGTTTGTTTTGCCAAAATAAACTGACAATGTTTTTATGGTGTTTATCAAGGAGTTGAGAATTATCAAACAATATTTTAGAATAATCGATTAGAGATTTTGATTTATATAAATTGAAAAATGTATTGAATTCTTCTTGAATGGTTTCTAATGGTATTTCGTTTTCAGGGATGTCGTTTTCTTCAGGGTTATTATTTTCTTCAGGGTTGTTTTCGTTAGGGTTATCATTTATTTCGGGGTCCTCTTTTACTTCGGTCTCGTTCTCGTTAGATGCGTATATGGAAATATTATGTTGGAAATTTGCGCATTCTATGAAGTAATTGACTTTGATTCGGAATGCATCTGAATTTTTGTTGATTTTGCCAGGTTTGTATGCTATCTGGTAATCATACTCTTCGAGTTTGAGTCGCCAGCGTGCCAGCCTACTACCAGGGTCTTTTATTGAAAAAAGCCAGGTGAGGGGTATATGATCAGTAATTAATCGGAATTTTTGTCCGAAAAGATATGGACGAAAATGATTTACTGCCCAAACGATGGCAAGAAGTTCTCTTTCTATTGTAGAGTACTTCGATTCTGCGCTACGAAGTGTTCTAGATGCATATGCTATTGGGATATCTTTGCCAATGGGACCTTGCGATAAAATGGCACCAATTGCAAACGCACTGGCGTCAGTTGTGAGCAAAAATGGTTCCTCAAAATTAGGGTAAATGAGAATAGGGCTCGTTATGAGTGCATTTTTAAGTTGTTCGAATGCTTGTCTGCATTCTGCGTCAAAGTTGAAGGGGGCATCTTTTTGAAGTAATTTAGTCAATGGTTTTGAAATTTTGGCGAATTTACAAATGAATCGTCGATAGTATCCAGCTGAACCTAAATATGACTTCGTTCCTTTTTGAGTTTTTGGTTCTGGGAAGTTTTGGATACATTCAATTTTCGTTGGATTGGGTTTGACTCCACTTTGGGTAATGACATGTCCAAGATAGGCTACTTCTTTCCTCAAGAATTCGCACTTATCCGGTTGGATTTTCAGATTCGCTTTTCGAAGTATTTTAAATACTTCGGTCAACCTTGCTATGTACTCATGGGTGATAGGAGAATATACGATGATGTCATACATGTATATGAGACATCTTTCGTTTTGTACACCTAGAAGAATATTATCCATAACTCTCTGGAACGTGTTCGGAGCGTTCTTCAAGCCAAATGGCTTACGAACAAATTCGTAGTGACCATTCTCTACGGAGAAAGCCGTTTTGGGAATGTCTTTGGGTTCGATTTCAATTTGATGAAATCCGGAGGCGAGATCAAGCGTGGTGAAATATTTGCATTTACCAAGCTGGTCTAGGAGGTCCGAGATGTTTGGTAATGGGTATTTGTCGTCAACCGTTAGCTCGTTGAGTTTTCGGTAATCGATGACAACTCTCCATTTCTGTTTACCAGAGGCGTGGGTACAACCCACACTGGCGATGACCATGGGGATATTGATGGCTGAATAATACCTTGATTTAGCATTTTGGATATTTGTGTTTTTACTTCCTCCTTGTGTACCTGTAGAATTTCGTAAATACGGGTCCTTAGTGTCAATGGTGTGCTTTATTTCGTTGGTAAAAGTGAGATTATCTCCTTCTAAATAGAATATATCTTCGAATTGGAGACATAAATCAGTTATTGATTGATGTTCCTCTCCTTTCAAATATTCGATTCTTAATTGTGCTTTTATTTCTTGGATACGGTCAATATGGGGTTGGTTTTGGGAAAACGATTCATTAATGTTCAAAACTGTTTCATGTGTTGGTTCGACTTTTATTTCAGAAAAATCAATTTGTTTTGGGATCGCGTTTGTATTTACGATAGAAGTATAGAACAGCCGTTTCCATCAATTTTGACTATGACGTTGGGAATTCTTACTTTTTCTCTTCCTTCAGTTAACACTTTAGCTTCAGTGTTCTTAAGATTGCAATGTAATTTGAATATTTTCTCCATTCGGGGTTCTATTTGAATTTGGTTCGGTTTGTCAGTGAGTATATGGTCATATATGTCTGAAACTTTGAACAAAGGGACTGTTTTGAAATTTGTTATGAGTTGTTTATTTTTCAGGTCAATTATACAATTATAATGTTCGATAGAGTCAGATCCAAGTAAACCGTCAAAGTCGATGTCTAGGTCGTAGATAAAGACTTTGTGTGGGTCGTTTCGTGTGAAATTTATTAGAGTGGATTCATTCATGACAATTTTTTGGTCAGTGATACCTTGTATAGTGACGTTTTCAGGCAATCTAAGGAGGTATTTATCGCATGTTTTGGGTTTGAAAATGGATATTTCTGCACCTGTATCGATGAAGATTTTGAAAGTATTGGAAGAGTCTTTGATGTAGTACAGATTTTTCGAATTCATAGAAAGCATAGGGCTTACATGAAAATTTGTTCCGGGAAGTTCACATTCGGGTTGAAGTGTTGTATATTCAGGGACTGAATTTGGGATTGGACTTCTGATGTAGGGTCGATCGATTTGTTGTTGGTTGTCTGGGGTTGAATAGGTGGGTGGTTCGCATTCGGGAGTGAGAGAAAATCCTGGTACATTGACGGATCTTCGGGTGTGTGAATTTGGTTGTATAGGTGATCTTGATCACTAGGGGTTTAGTAATCATAGTCATTATCGGTGGGGTAGTAATCGTTGTATTGATAGTTATAGCTATCAGCTGTATGACCTTGATTATCACCTTTATGATAATCTTGAGATTCATATGTCATGAAATGAGCTCTTTGGTTTCGATTGAAATTGACATTTTGTCAGAATTGGATTTATATGAATTACGGCTGGTCTGATTTGGTTTTGAGATTGAGGTCGAATTTGGTTTTGATTAGTCTGGGACCTGTTTGGCTGAGAATTTGTTTGAAAGTTTGGTCTTGAAAAATTCTGATTGGGTTGGGAATTGTTTGACTCAAAAAATTTTGATTGGGTTGAGGGTTTGGTCTTGCGAACTTTTGGTTGGAATATGGATAATTATTTGGGGGTCTTTGTTGTCTCATTCGACATTCTGTGGAAATATGACCTATCTGACCACAAGTGTGACAAATTCTTTGAGATGTTGGTTGGAGGTTTCGTCTGATTGTTTGTTGAGGGCGTGTTTGGTTTAGTCTTTCATTTTTTTGATGTTCGAAATAAGATATTTGCATTTCCCTCCTAATTCTGATGTGGGCTTCAAGTAGATCTACTGGATTGGTAGCACGAATTACTTGACCTATTCGCGGTTCTAGTCCGGTTAAAAGCGTATTCAATGCCATTGTTTCAATCAGTGCGGATTGCGTGTGTTTCTGTTCCACAGAAAGGATGGATTTTTATACACATGCGTGCATTTTAGCATTGTGGACTTGAAGGCGATTGAAAAATATTAAAGGTGTTTCATTCAGAAGTTGTTTGATACGCTGGAGATTGTGAATTAATGATGTCAGATCTCTAGAGTCTTCAAAATATAAATTTAATGAATGTTTGATTTCGGGATAAGTTCCAGGGTTCCTTGAACTTATCAATTGTGCTGCTCCACCTCTGAGTTTGTTTTTGATGTGAATCACTGAAAGATCGCGTTGATCTGCTGTGGACATGCGATATGCACAATCACAAGCATTAAGGAAAGTGTTCAAAAATATTTGATCACCTTCGAATTCAGGCACTATTGAAAATATTTCTGATAACTTGTATGGTTCGATTGCATCTGGTTCTGGTTGATTTTGAGCCATTTTGATTTAATTATCAAATTTTTATGTCAAAATTTGAATGATCGAACAGTACTTATTTACTATTTACAATAATTAATCAGTGTGATTATTGATTTTACAAATAATTTGGATGATAGTGAATAGATTGCAAAATGAATCGAGACAATTCA